GCAATTGGCTACTTGTGATTTTCTAGTGAAAGGTCAGGAAATTATTATTCCACAACAGTGTGAGGAATAAGAAAGAGGAAAACTTGAATGATTTTCTCCAATTGTTACTTTAACTATAGAGATTGCTGTCCTCTATCTATAAGCCAGCTGCTTTTTGTAAACTATGGCATCTCTTTCCTCTTTACAGCTAGCCTGTTTTTTGATAATCTCCTCTTTGTTAATCAGTGAAGATACAGTTCCATGTGAGAGTGCTACTGTTTTTCAGCACTGGATGTAGCTATTAAGTCAGCCAAATTCCAGCTTTTCAGACTAGGCAAATGACTCACCCATTGTGGTAGGTATGGTGTTGTGTCAACTTGGCTGGGCCTGGTTTTGAGTGGCTGGGCAGCTGGACATAGTATTATACTTCATAAGAAGACTGATAATCATCCATGGTGGAATCTACTGTGAACAGCTTAGTAGCTGCCTTAGGCATGTGGTCTGCCCCCAGTATATAAGAAGTTTTATGACTGGCTGGAGCTTTTGAAATGCTTGGACCCTGAATGTAGCTGAGTCTTCATTTAGCAGCCTTCCATGTAGTTTGTGGGTCAGGAAGGATGCGAGGCAGTACAGGGGGTTTGGAGTGGTTAAAGGAGATAGGAAGAAACCAAGGTGGCATGGTGGGTTTGGAGCGCTGAGGGAGGCCAGGAAGGAAGCAACCTGGAGCAGTGAGTTTGGAACAGCCAAAGGACACCAGGAAGTGAGCAGAGCAGTTTGGAACCACTAAGAGAGACGAACTTGTCTGTGAGTTTGTCATACTGTGGTGGTTGCTAAGACAGACTCAGAAAAAGGAACAGGCCATCCACTTCTACAAGAATTGGCCAGTGAAAACCTTATGAATAGCAGTGAAAGACTGTCTCATATATTACTGGAAAACTTTATGACTACTCCTACAACATTGTCCCATATAATCCTGGAAAATGAGCCCCTCAGGGGCTCAAAATATGACTAGGGAAGAGCTGCCTCCTCAGAGTAGAGCTGACCTTAATGATGGTAACAGAGTTAAGCTTTCAGGATCTCCGTTTGCTCATGTGGCATGACTCAAAATGAGAAGAAATAGCTGCAAACATCCATTAATAATCAGAACATGGAATGTATGAAGTAGCAATCTAGGAAAATTGGAAGTTGTTGAAAATGACATAGAACACACAAAGATTAATATCCCAGGTATAGTGAGCTGAAATCAACTGGTTTTGGCCATTTTGAATTAGACAATCACATGATCTCCTATGCCAGGAATGGCAAACTGAAGAGGAATGGTGTGACATTAATCATCACAAAAAATGTAACTAGACCTATCCTGAAGTACAATGTTGTCAGCGACAGGATAATATCCACACGCCTACAAGGAAAACAAGTTAATTACCACTATTATTCAAATTTATGCACCAACCAACAAAGACAAAGATGAGGAAATTAAAGATTTTCATCAACTTCCACCGTCTGAAACTGACCAAACATGCAATCAAGATGTGTTGATTATCACTGGCGATTGGAATACAAAAGTTGGAAATAAGGAAGAATCACTGGTAGTTGGAAAATGTGGCCTTTGTCATAGAAATAATGCTGGAGATCACATAATAGAATTTTGCAAGACCAGCAACTTATTCATTGCAAATATCTTTTTCAACAACATAAACAGCAACTATATATGTGGACTTCACCAGGTGGAGTACACAGGAAACAGAATGACTATATCTGTGGCACGAGGTGATGGAAAAGCTCAATATCTTCAGCCAAAACAAGGCTAAGACTTGACTGTGGAACAGACCATGAACTGCTCCTACACAAGTTCAAGTTGAGGTTGAAGACAATTAAAACAAGTCCACAAGATCCAAAATATGACCTTGATTATATGTCTCTTGAATTTAGGGATCATCTAAAAAATAGACTTGATGCATTGAACATCAATAACCAAAAAACAGAGGAATTGTGGTAAGACATCAAGGACATCATCCATGAAGAAAATAAAAGGTCATTAAAAAGAAAGGAAAGGAAGATAAGACAAAAATGGATGTCAGAAGAGACTCTGAAACTTGTCCTTGAATGGAGAGTAACTAAGCCAATGAAAGAAGTGAGAAGACAAGAGAGTTGAACAGAAGATTTCAAAGAGCAGCCTGAGAAGACAAAGTCAATTATAATGAAATGTGCAAAGACCTGGAGTTAGAATACCAAAAGCAAAGAACACATTTGACATTTCTAAAGCTGAAAGAATTGAAGAGGAAGTTTAAGCCTCAAGTTACAATACTGAAAGATTCTATGGACAACATATTTAATGATGCAGTAAATATCAAAAGAAGATGGATGGAATACACAGATTCACTATACCAAAAATAATTGGTTGATGTTCATCCATTTCAGGAGGTGGCATATGATCAAAAACCAATGGTATTGAAGGAAGAAGTCGAAGCTGCACTGAAATAAGTGGTGAGAAACAAGGCTCCAGGAATTGACTGAATACTCATTGAGATGTTTCAACAAACAGATGCCATGCTGGAGGCACGCACTCATCTATGCCAAGAAATCTGGAAGAGAGCTACCTGGCCACAGAGTGGAAGAGATCCATATTAGTATCCATTCCAAAGACAGGTAATCCCACAGAATGGGGAAATTATCAAACAGTATCATTAATAATCACGTTCAAGTAAAATCTTATTGAAGATAATTCAACAACTGTTTCAGCAGTATACCAACAGAAAACCTCCAGAAATGCAAGCTGGATTCAGAAGAGGACTTGGAACAAAGGCTGTCATTGCTGATGTCAGATAGATCTTGGCTGAAAGCAAAGAATACCAGAAAATGTTTACTTGTTTTTGTTGACTGTGCAGAAGCAGTTGATTGTGTGGATCATAACAAATTATGGATAACATTGAGAAGAATGGGAATTCCAGAACACTTCATTGTACTCATGAGGAACCTGTACATAGACCGGGAGGCTATTGTTCAAACTGTATGGTTTAAAATCAGGAAGGGAGTGTGTCAGAGTTCTATTTTTTCACCATACTTATTAAATCTGTATGCTGAGCAAATAATCCAAGAAAATGGACTATATAAAAAAGAACATGGCATCAGGATTGGAGGAAGAATCATTAACAGCCTGTGATACACAGAAGACATAACTTTGCCTGCTGAAAGTGAAGATGACTTGAACCTCTTACTGATGAAAATTGAAGACTACATTAAGTAGCATGGATTACACCTCAATATAAAGAAAAGTCCTCACAAGTGGACCAATCAGCAGGATCATGAGAAATAGAGAAAATACTGAAGTTGTCAAAGACTTCATATTACTTGGGTCTAATATCAACACCAATGGAAGCAGCAGTCAAGAAGACATCAGATGACATACTGCATTGGGCAAATCTGCTCCAAACAACCTCTTTCAAGTGATGAAGAGCAAAGATGTCTCCTTGAAGACTAAGATGTACCTAACACAAGCCATGGTATTTTCAATTGCTTCAAAAGCATGTGAGAACTGGACAATGAATAAGAAAGACCAAAGAGTTGATGTTTTTGAGTTGTGGTGTTGGTGAAGAATACTGAAAGTATCATAGACTGCTGAAAGAATTAACAAATCTGTCCTGGAGGAAGTGCAGCCAGAATGCTCCTTGGAAGCAAGAATGGCCAGACTATGTCTCACCTACTTGGGTCATGTTGTCAGAAAGGATCATTCTCTGGAGAAGGATATCATGCTTGGGAAAGTGGTGGCTTAACAAAAAAGGGGAAGTTTCGCAACAAGGTGGGTTGACACAGTGGCTGCAACTGTGAGCTCAGGTATATCAAGGATTGTGAGGCTGGCACAGGACCAGACTGATTTCTTCTGTTGAACATAAGGTCACTATCAGTCGGAGATGACTCAATGGCACCTAACAACAACTACTATGTGTTGTTTCCTGATCTTGGGACTCTTAATGAACTTGAGTCAATGGCCTGCTGTGGTAATATTGGGCTGTGCCTTTTTTCCTTGTCAACCTTGGGCTTGTTAGCCTCAGCAGCCAGCAGCTGCCCAAGTGAAGAAAAGGTTTCAGCTTCAGTGGGCTAGGAGCAGGAAGCAAAGATGAAATTCAGGGTTGAGGAATTTTCAACTACCCCCTAGAGCCTGGCACTTTGAACTCAGACTTCTAGCCTCCCAAATTATAAAAAAATAAATGCCTGTTTGTTCAAGCCATCCCATTTGTGGTATATTCCTGTCACAGCAGCAATAGGTAACTGAAGCACTCATAGGTATAAGCCACATTTCCAAAGTATGATTTATTAATTGCAAAATTAAATTTCGTCTTTTTGATTGGTCTATCTATCTTTAAATAGCTCATACTTGTTAAATAAATAATTTATTGCCTCTCTCAAACTCTAGAAGACATTATTTAAAAAAAAAGTAAGTTCCATTTGCTACCATAACTATAGCATTTAGAAAAACATATCAATTTTGAGTACATCAATATTTTCTATTACGATAAACAATGTTAATTGGGGCACTAACTTAAAATTTCATATTTGATTCTATTATTCTTCAGTTACACCCCATAAAGCATTTTAAGGCAATTGACAAACAGGTGAAAAAGTTGTATTTTAATCTTGCTCAGTATAAAATACAGCATAATAAAATTTAAAAACAATGAGAGCTTCAAAATAAAATTAAAAAATATTCAATTTTAAAATTATAAAAAAAATTTAATAATAAAACTTAAGTAAAAAGTCATATAACTTAAAAGTAACAACATTCTAAAAAAGGATATATTGAACATGTGAGAGGAAAAATTATAAAAATCTTTATTTATACCGGGTTAAATGAGAACTGGTATTTCAAACACTTCCATCAGCATCAAGAAAAAAAGATTTCTAGAATCATAATGTAAATAATATACTTATAAATAATAAAGTAAGGAAATCTTTAACCATATGTTAATATACATATAAATTGTCACTATACATTTTAGCTAAGAAAATGAAACCATACATACCAGAACTATACCTCCTCCATAATTTCTATCACACATCTTTCCTTGAAAAGTTGCACCAACATAATCTGATTTTTCTCTGTAACTTAAATTTTAAAAAGCATCAGGATCATTTAATTTTGTAAAGCTAAGCCCAATTAATATTTAGTTTCCCAAGATGATTTAAAATCTTGCATATTTATATTAACTTAGAAGATATTTCTACTTAATAGTAATGTAACAGTATAGAGTGACTTAATGCTTCTCCTTCTTTTAAAAATAATAAAATAGATTTTAAAAATAATAGCAAGTATGCTTTCACATGTAACCAGAAAATAATCAAGATTCAACTTTTCCTGTAGTGTTTTTAAAACTAGGAGAAATAAATTCAAAATAATCTATAAATAAAAGCTCTTAATAAAACACAGCTTGAATACTGATAAAAGTAAAACAGAGCTTATTAAATAGTAGAGAACTATATATTAAAAATATAGCAGTTTGGATTCATTATGATAGGAATATTGAAATATGTATCAATGTTTCCATATATTTGTTATTTTTGTTCTTATTTTAAGACAAAAACTATAAGAAAACCAATTCACCATATTTATAAAATTCAAAGATATTTATTCAGATGGATTTTGCCAGGAGCTCTGGTAGCATAGTGCCTAAGGCACTTGACTGCTACCCAGAAGGCTGGCGGTTCAAACCCACCAGCCACTCCTCACAAGGAAGATTGGGCAATCTACTTCCGTAGTGTACTGCCTCGGCAACCCAAGTAGGGGTCGCTATGAGTCGGGTCCGACTTGACAGCACATAACAACAACAACAACAATGAATAGTTAAAGACGTTTAATGATATGCTACATTCTAGTACAAGACTGAAAGAGTAAGATTTAGCAATAAAGTGATAAATAAAATGGTATAAATACTTGTGTTATAAAATTACATTTAAAAAATATTCACATTATGTTTTTTATATATATATAAATATGGCACGTGATCCTTTCTACTCTAGGACTATCAGCACTTAGAAATAAGAAAAGACATGGATATGTTTTCTTTATATACGCCACAGTAATATGAAGATAATATGCTTACACAAGTAAAAACGCCACATCATGTGGACGCAAAACAAGATATGATCTTTTCCATATTAAAAATCTGCGTAATAACTCATTAGCATCTCCAGTAGTTGAAATTTTATTTTCATCTGTCCAAAGCTCCAATGAAGACAGAATTATTGTAATATTAAATGAAGTAAAAACCTAAAATAGAACACATATGGATAATATGCTCAAACATTATGATTTAAGGAGTATGGGGAATATAGTTATAAATATGAACACTATGGTCATAATAGAAGCTCTGGGAGCACAGTGCCTAAGGCACCTGACTGCTAACCAGAAGGCAAGCGGTTCAAACCCACCAGCCACTCCTCGGAAGGAAGGTTGGGCAATCTACTTCCATAGGGATACTGCCTCGGAAACCCAAGGAGGGGTCGCTATGAGTCCTGACGGCAAATAACAACAACATAGTCATAATAAATATTTAACAACTAAAGTTTAGGTCAGATAGTGTCTTTCAAAGTAAGTTAGTAAATTAGTAAGTGAAAAAATATGACTAGTAATACAAATAATATGTAATAATTTTAAATGCTTTCACTTAAGCATGGATTGTGCAAATGTTTTATATAATTAAATTATTACAACTGCATTAGGTATACCAAACCAACCAAACTCACTGCCTTCAAGTCAGATCCAACTCATACCAACCCCTCCTTGAGTTTGGAGGCAGTATCACTCGGAAGGAGATCATCCAATCTTCCTTCCGAGGAGTGGCTGGTGGGTTTGAACCCCTAGCCTTCTGGTTAGCAGTCAAATGCCTTAGGCACTACACCATCAGAGCTCCCATGTTAGGAATATAGTACTGTTATTTCTGTTTTACAAATAAAAAACTTAAAACATAAAATGGTTATGTAAATTTCCCAAAGTTATTAAAGATCTGTATTCAGACAGTGTCATATAATAAGCTATAGTACTCACTTAATTAACAAAAAGAAACACAAAAACACTAAAAAGCTAACACAACTGGGAGCGCTGATGGTGTAATGCCTCAGGCATTAAGGAACACAAACACAAAAATACCAAAAAGTTAACACTTACAGCACTGGTCAATCCAATCAACTGGAAAATTTTTTCGGTAACAACTGCCATATCAGCACCCATGTGAACATACTGAAAAATATAATTAGCTTTTAAGTCTAAATGCATATAATTTATTATTTAACAACTATCATTCTTCTGTATAAAATTTAATATTGTGAAATGGGATATTGATTAGATTACCAAAATATTAGTTCTTAAACAATATTACTTAATTTTTACGGAAATCATAAAATACAAAACAGTATGGAAAATTGGAAAGTACTGAAAAATACAGAAAAACAAAACCTAAAAATTATTTATGCCTACTATCAACTTATTAACTAATAATAACAATTTTTGGAACAAATTTAGCTCTAAATTATACTATTTAAATGTTAAAAATACACATTTTCTACAGCTAAGTTCTTTAATCAGAAATATTATAGTTTGAATACATCTATTCAAAGCCTCAGCTACCTGTAGCTTCATTATAACAATCATACAGTGATAAAACTATCAAAAGAAAGATGAAGGCTCCAGAAAAAAAAAAAAAAAGACAAAACAAAATTTGCAAAGAGGAAGAGAAAGTTGTGCTAAGAGTAGGTGGATTTATTTAAAGCTTATTTAAGAAGTAATTAAGTAAGTGCAAATTTTCAGAATGGCTATGTGAATGGTCCCATTTATATAACATTCTCAACAAAATTATAGAAATGGAGATTGACTAGTGCTTTCCAGAGGTTAGAGAAAAGCAAGTAAGGGGAAGTAAATGTAGCTGTGAAAACACAAATCAAGACATCCTTGTAGTGATGATATTGCTCTATATCTTGACTGTTGTCTATCAATGTCCTGGTTGTAATATTGCAGTATAATATTTTTAGATGCAAAAAAATTAAGAACAATTGTTTAAACAGCACACAAGATCTCTCTGCAGTATTTTGTATAACTGCATAAACAATGAACATATAACTATACAGTTATCTCAAGATAAAAAGGTTAATTTAAAAAAAAATTAAATAAAAATAAGACCTAATATAGTATCAGAAAATATCCACTTATGACAATAGGTGGTAATGGAGAAAGAATAGATGAAAATGACAAAAACAAAATTAAAAAACAAACAAACACCACCATTGAGTCAATGATGATTCATAATGACCCCAAAGTGCAGAGCAGAACTGCCACACAGGGTTTCCAAGGCTGTAAATCTTTATGGAATCAGACTGGCATTTTTCTCCCACAGAGCTGCTGGTGAGTTCAAATTCAAACCACCAACATTTGGTTAGCAACCAAATACTTTAGACAGCACTCCTTAAAATAGAAAAAAAAAAAGTAGTTACACAACATGGAGAAAACAAAAATTAAAAATGACAGACATAATCCAAACATATCACCAATAGTATTAAATATGAAGAGATTATACAATCCAAAAAAAATTGAGATTTTCAGACTTAAAAAAACAAACAACCCCCAAGAACCAACTATGTACTTTTTAAAGGACACATACTATATTTTCAAAGATAGAAATAGTTTGGAAGTAAAAGGATTTAAAAGGACATACCATAAAAACAGCAATGATAAAGATATCTGGGGTGCCTATTAGGAAGATATAAAAATTATAAACATATATATGCATCTAACAACAAACCCACAAAATTACATGAAACAAAACATTACAGAATTGAAGAGAGAAATAGAACATTTAATAATAATAGATGAATATTTCAATATACAACTTTCAATTATAGATAAAACTAAGCAAAAATCAAAACAGATATAGAAGACTTGACAAAAATTATAAACCAATAGATAATCTATAGAAAACCCCCAAAAAAGCAAAATATACATTTTGCTCAAATGCACAGACAACATAAGGCAGAAATAGACCATACATTAGGCCACAGAGCAAACCTCATTACAGTTAAAAGAAAGGAAAAAGACACAAAGTATGTTATCTGGCCACAAAGAAATGGAATTAAAAACAAATGAAACATGTTTGAGAAGCTCAAAATAGACAGCATCTAAACAACATTACAATAAATAATCAATAACCAAAACAATTACAGAGGAAATTACATGATACTATAAGGTTGTGAATCATTACATAAATAAACTGCCTCACCTGTCTCCTAAGGAGCAGCAGGTGTATTCAAACGACTGACTTTTTGGTTAGCAGCCAAATACTCTAACCATTGAACTACTAGAGCTACTAGTCATTAGAGAATTATAAATTAAAATCACAATTAAATTTTATAGCCACTAAAATGGCTACAAAGTCAGCCCCAGGGTTACAGGTGAGGAGAGACAACTCAGGGATGCCCAAAGTAGCAAGTGGGAAGAGCAGGAGAAAGGGGATTAAAAGCCAGGAA